ATTTATCGCACATATTTTAGCACAATCCAGAACTTTTAGTTAATTTTATTTCCTAAAAATTGAAATTTAGTAGTAGTAATTTATCTTTTTTTTATTTATATTAATAAATAGCTAAATAAAAGATTTGGTTCAATTTCGATAACAAAAATATGCATTTTTTCCTTAACTAATATTTAAGCAACGAAATGTGATGTAATTATAATTACTTTACTTATTATTTATTTGAATAAAATTCAGGTTCTATTCAGTTTTTTTTAGTAAAATTCGTATTCCATCCAATTTTTATGCATTTTTTTCCTTTTTTCTTAACTATTAGCATCGTTTTGAAATTTTATGTGAAATTTATTTAGGGACAATTTACAATGAATTTATCACTTACAAATTTTCAAATTGTTTTTTTCCGAAAATCAAAATTTTATAATAGTAATTTATCAATTTGATAAATATTTTTGATTTCTAATTTTATTTCCATTTTTTTCCAAATTTTAAGACTATGAATTATTATTTTACTCCTATTAGTTGTTTATTTATTCGGCTATTTCATGCAGTGATAATAGTTGAGCAAATTGTTGACTTACTTATGCATTTCATATATTGTAATTAACTTGTTGTTAGCTTATTAGATGGAAAAAGCTAACATTTAATATCTTTACCACACTATTTGTACCTTTTGAATGCATTCAAATACAAATAATTAATATAAAAATATAATTAATATCCATTCCTTTTGATTAACTAAAGTAAACGTAAACATACGATTATTTTATTAATAAAACGTGACGTAATTACAAATTATTTAACTGAATACTTATTTAAATGCTTAATTAAGTAAAATTTGTGTTTCGTTTTTTTTTTTGCTTGATAATGTCATTTGGAAATTTTATACGAAATTAATTTAAGAAATTTAATCAATTAATTAATCTAACTTATGCATGCTCATAACAACTGCTTATAATTTATAATTTATGCATTTTGATCCTTCGATATTAAAATTATTCCCAGTAATAGTTTTTTTAACTTTTGAGTTTATTTACTTATATTTTATGAGTTATTATTCATTTCAACAAGAAAGGAAAGATTTGTCAAAAAATTTACAAATAGACTGTCGAAGGAAAAATACTGAAAATTTCCAATTTTAACTTTTTTTCCAGGAAATATAGAAAAATTATTTAATAAAAATCAAAATTGAAGGATAAAATGGGAGAAATGCATACATTCTGTTAATGATAATGTCAGCTTAGATGATAAATTTTAATTAACAATGTATCAAAGATTTAAGTCATTTAAAATTTTAAATCATTAAATAATTCACTTCTGAATAGAAGATAAAAAGAACAGAAATTAAAGAAAAGGAATATCTATTATGTAATCATTATTCAATTAATACTAATTAAGATATGAAATAAAGTACTTAAATCGTTAGTATTTCCTGATCATTCTATCTCCCGCTTTCACTATTAAAATTAAAATGTTTACTATTAAATGAGTTTTGAAATAGTGTCATGTTCAAAATTCCATTCTATATGTTTTGCTTAAAAAGTTCTTTTTTTATCATCACTTGTCATCATTTGTTGTCCCCATTCATTGGATACTTCTTGGCTTAGATTCGGACAACGAAAATGATTCTGAAATTTACGTCGATAATTTAATTCATAAGTTTAGAGATAAGAAATATAGCTAGCTAAATTTAAGCAGACGGAAATATTTTAACCAATTTTACTGTTAATCATGTAATCAAGAAAAAAGAAATCATAGTTAAATTATTGTTAAAATAATTAATTATCCTTATGTAAAATAATAGGATATAAATAGAAAAATAATTTAATGTAAGAATTAAATAAGTAAAATTAATAACATAAAATGAAAAAATTAAAATTGCAAAAGTAAGTGTTATAACTTACGAGGAAAAAAACAAAATAAATTAAAAGCGAAATAATGAATAAATGATGTTATCTAAAAAAAA